CTTTGATGAAGACAGAATGTAGGATTGGAATGCTAAGATGGCTAGCAAGCCATTGCTAACAAATTTTGATGTTAAAGACACAATCCGTCACAGCAAACAGAAGTAAGACCGTCTTTGACAGAAGTGGGAAGGCAGCCAGAACAGAGTCAGCCAAAAGCAACAGGACAAATTTCACCAGCAACTAAAAACGCTAGCAATCCAGCAATCAACTCACCTCCACAACACACCAAGAAAAAGCCACAGTTTGGATGCAAAGTAATGAGATATCAAATAAACCTAAACCTAATGATCAAGTCAACCATACAAAATGATATATATATATATATATATATATATATAAAAAATGCTACCCATGCATTAATTGAGATCTAAATATAAATATATTTTTAATCTATTTTTCCTTTTAATTTGTGTTAAATGCAATCCCTCCCTTAATAATGTGTTAAAAGCATTAATCTAACTTTTCTCATCTATTTTACCTTTGTTATATTGTATTTTGAAAAGTATGATGCTTTGTTTTCCATCTTATATTTGTAGGTTTTGTTTAGTTGGAATCTTTCACTTTATTTATTACTTTGGTTTCTTTTTGTATTTTAAATTTATTTACTTTCAAAGAGAAACTTGAAAGGACATATTTAATTTTACACACTTACTATAATCAAATATTCTCTTTAATCATTTCTCAAATATATGACACTGAAAGAAGCATGAAGTCGCAGAGGACTGGCTGTTGCCCATTTCATAATTATATATATTATCAAATAAATATATATAATATTATAAATTATAATCAAGTGAAAATAATTTATTATTAAATGACATGAAGAGTTAAATAAAAAGTTACATAAAAAATTATCTTTCAATTATTTCCCATAGGTGAACAATTATCTTTCCAAATATTTTAGTCAAAAATTAATATGATCATAAAATAAAAATTCAATATTTGGCACTCCATAACCTACATAATTTAAGAATAATTATCTCATCAACGAAACATGCTAAAAAACATATCACCAAAGAAAAAAAAATAAAAAATAAAAAAACCGCTAAAATACAAATAAAGACACACAAAGATCAAAGATATTATGACACCATTTGGCTTAGCTTTTTTTCCCCAATTAACTTTCAAGATAAAAATTAAAAAAAATTGTCTTGAAATCTAAAAAGATTGTAGGGAAACCTGATTTTGTAGCCAAAAAAAAAATAAAAAATAAAAACTTTTAAGCAAATCGTTTTTGAAGCAAAGAATTCGAATTTTTTTAGCAAAATTTACTTAGAAAATTACTTTATTTTACTAAAAATCAAGTTTCCCTCTAACAAATTTAAGCTCAAAAGAAAACAAAGATTTTACAATTTTTAACTTCAAAACTACTTGAAAAAATGCTCAGCCGAACAGCCTCAAATTGCATCTAAGTTAAAACAAATCCACAATAGTTAAATGAAGATGTCTTATACAATATATAAATCCAAATATATATGCTAGATTTCCCCGCTTAAAGAAGATCATTACCTCTTTCTGTCTCTCTTTCTCTCCCTCCCAGAAACTGCAATGCAAAGGATCTTCGTCTTCGTCTTCGTCTTCCTCTTCCTCTTCCTCTTCCTCTTCCTCTTCCTCTTCCTCTTCCTCTTCCTCTTCGGGAAATCTATGTTTTCTGCGGACTAGAATGTGACGCATCTCTACTTTATCTGCTGCAGTGATTTCT